TACTAGTGCATGGGTAGCAGGTGTAAGGAAACTTGTCCAACGTTTCACCCGTGCCGGGAATCGATCCCGGCACGGGTGAGGAAACTACCAACCAACGCACGAGTGCAGTAGGCCTACGTCTTGCGCTTCCAGACTTTCACTACTTTACCATTTTGTTTACACTTTTGTGGATTTAATGGTGACCCCGAGGACCACTAAGGGCCGTAATACCTTAAACCGTCCTGATGTTTAATACCACTATCGTCCTTATACTGAGTGTCATTAACGCTCAAATCTCCATAACGAGCGGAGCCGCGGATGGGATAATATGGTCCAGGGATGGTACACTACCACGCGGCCCTGAGATTACTGCAGTGGTCAATCCTATTTGCTTATTTGAAGCTCTGGAAGAACGAAAACTTTTTAAAATTGCATCTAGGAGGAGGAGCGAGATGAGGCGAATTAGTCTACTGCACCTGAGTGGCCGTACTGCGGTCGTCACAGGTCAAGGGGCTAATCAACGTTTCGCATAATTCGAGGTAGCGGACTCAGAATTTCCGGTGGGGGCCGCGCAAGCAGCGAGCCGTCACCAGAGGTGATACCTTGGCGGGATGAAACATTATTATTTGTCCCCGCGCTCTCCTTCCAGGTAAAAGAGACAAAAAAGGGAAAATGGCTGCGCCGAAGGCGGTCCCACAACAAGGGAAGCGACAGGTGGACCAAGTCTACTCTCCCTCCTGGATTAACACCTGTCCGCTGGGATCACCGACGAGGGCTTCAATAATGTCACGAGAGAGAGAGAGAGAGAGAGAGAGAGAGAGAGAGAGAGAGAGAGAGAGAGAGAGAGAGAGAATGAATTATAGTTTCCTATAATCAACACAACACTATGTAAAGTAAAAGGACACAAGTGCAACTAATGTGACATTTATTGTGGCAACGTTTCGCTCTCCAGGAGCTTTAATGGCTTGATAAAGCTCCTGGAGAGCGAAACGTTGCCACAATAAATGTCACATTAGTTGCACTTGTGTCCTTTTACTTTACATATTGTCGGTAATTCTACCAACTTTATTACAACACAACACTAGAAGACTCAAGACTGTGGAAGCGCCATATTAGTTCGTTCTATATACGTACGAGGTTCCGTACACCACCGTCCTCTCGGCTGGGTCCCAGACCAAGCCTCCTCAGTTGGAAAGAAAAAAAAAACAGTTTCGGAAAAAAAATGAACAAAGTTGGGTGTATCCTGAATATAAATAAACTTGCGCAAGATTTATTTAACACGTAGATAAAACTATTTTTCACCCAATTAAACATTTCCTGCCTCACTTTTTTCATATATATATATTTAAAATATGAACAGTATTTGATTTAAGAGTTCTGTATTCAAGCTCTTTTAAAGGGTGACGAGTATGAGTTAGAAGAGGGAGTGGAAGTGTTAGGTTGAGAAGAGGGTGGGAATGAGAGGGAGGGGGGGGTTAACAAATGGGTTACCTGGAGGTTATTCCGGGGATCAACGCCCCCGCGGCCCGGTCCACGACCAGGCCTCCCGATGGATCAGGGCCTGATCAACTAGGCTGTTACTGCTGGCCGCACGCAGTCCCACGTACGAGCCACAGCCCGGCTGATCCGGCACCGACTTTAGGTATCTGTCCAGCTCTCTCTTGAAGGCAGCCAGGGGTTTATTGGCAATTCCCCTAATGCTTGATGGGAGGCTGTTGAACAGTTTTGGGCCCCGGACACTTATGGTGTTTTCTCTTAGTGTACCAATGGCGCCCCTACTTTTTATTGGCGGCATTTTGCATCGCCTGCCCAGTCTTTTACTTTCGTAGGGAGTGATTTCTGTGTGCAGATTTGGGACCATTCCTTCCAAGATTTTCCAAGTGTAGATTATGATATATCTCTCCCTCCTGCGTTCCAACGAGTACAAGTCAAGTGCTTCCAAGCGTTCCCAGTAGTTAAGGTGCTTGACAGAACTTATACGTGCAGTAAAGGATCTCTGTACACTCTCTAGATCTGCGATTTCACCAGCCAAGACAGGCTGAAACATTACCTAGTTTTCATATCCAATTTGTTTGTAACTGGTAAATAACCTTTGTACCCAGGAATGGTCCCAAATCTGCACACACAAATCACTCCCTACGAAAGTAAAAGACTGGGCAGGCGATGCAAAATGCCGCCAATAAAAAGTAGGGGCGCCATTGGTACACTAAGAGAAAACACCATAAGTGTCCGGGGCCCAAAACTGTTCAACAGCCTCCCATCAAGCATTAGGGGAATTGCCAATAAACCCCTGGCTGCCTTCAAGAGAGCTGGACAGATACCTAAAGTCAGTGCCGGATCAGCCGGGCTGTGGCTCGTACGTCGGACTGCGTGCGGCCAGCAGTAACAGCCTAGTTGATCAGGCCCTGATCCATCGGGAGGCCTGGTCGTGGACCGGGCCGCGGGGGCGTTGATCCCCGGAATAACCTCCAGGTAACCTCCAGGTACATCCATTATGTGGGTGTTAGGTGCGAATTGTTGCAGAACCCTCATGATCTTCAACAATTAAGGGCGCTGAAGCCCATCCCACAAACTATTTACAATGGATCAATCATACAGTACTACTTGGAGGGTATTCCGGTGGATCAAGGCCTGGTCGCACGTAGTCCAACGTACGAACAGCCCGGCTGATCCGGTCTACTAATGTAGGCTTTCAGCAAAAATGTATCTAGTGAGAAGTCCACTCTGTGTGGAAGACTCTAGTACCAGTGAAAGACTGCTTCCCGCAGTTTTTCGTATCGCCCACTATAAGCTTATGCCTTACCTGACCTCTGGTGGTAACTCCCGGTGCTAAGCCTACCACAGGTCACAAGGCCTCACATTTGCTGCTCACCTGGGTTCATTTTCTCTCTCTGCTCGTCTCCCTGCACACCTACCAGTGAACTTACCTCAATAAACCCAAGATCGCCAATGGTTGCTTGCCTTCAGCCAGCTCTGCATTTTGCGATTCTACCAGAGTATTTCCCGTAAGCAGACAAACCCACGCAATACATTCAAATTTTCCAAAGATATAATAGTTCTGTATTGATTTGACGATTGTAAGCAGTAGGCATAATTGTAAAGCGATTTACGACATTTTCAAATTCGCTAACTCCACAAGCAAAGGAAGTCTATCAATAGCATTAAACTACAAATACAGTCACACTAAAACAATAATCTTGTACTTACCACTAACAGAGGCGCAGCAGGAACCGTAACAACGCTGCTCTTTGGTGCTCTTCCTCGAGGATGTCATAGGAGTATATTTTCCCCCTTAAAGTCAAATTTAAGTAAACTTAGGGGAAGACCTTGAGAGACTTACCTGCGGAGGACACCTCCTAGGAGGGAAGCGTTGAGGCACTCTGGCGGGGAGAGGCGACGCTGGACCTCCGCCACCGTCACTTTGTACTTGGAGGTGGAGGAGAGGAGGGAGAGGCGGCCGGGCACCGAGCAGAACACGTCATTGCCAGAGAGCATCCCAGACACGCCCATGCTCTTCTCGCTCTTGAGGCCTGCAACACACCACACTCTCTCTCAGGGCGTCTCCACGCCCACGTCCACCCCACACGCCCTCTCAGCTCCCTGGCGGGGAGGGCGCTCCAGGGTGGGCAGGGAGGGAAGGTACGGGACATCAAGTGGGTAAGTGGGTTAGGGGAAGGGGAGACTAGATGAACAGAGAAAGCGAAAGGGGAATGAGGACAAGGATGAAGCAGAGTAGGGACGTAGAAGAATGGAAAGTTGTAGAAGGGTGGAAAAGGGTCGTAGAAACGTGGAATAGGACTGTTGATATATGAGGAAGGACTTCAGATGGGTGGAGGAGGGCACTGTGGAGGGTTGGGGGGGAAGGGGTTTTTGAATGTGAAAGGGGCTGATGACTGGTGGAGAGGGAGCTGAAGAGAGGTGTGAAATAGAAGGGGGGGGGGGACTGTAGGGAAGGGGGCTATTGCAAGAAAGCGTGCCTGCAGGCTGCTGACGGCACCTGCAGTAGGCTTGTCAGTTCCTGTCAGTGGTGGAGAGTGAGGTGAGGGCAGCACCAGCTTCAGGCAAGTAACACTTGCCTTTACACAGTGAATATATGTTGTAATAAATGCAGTGACGCCGTCTAAGACGCTACCCTCATCCATACATCAAACTAATCTGCAGTTTTTAAGGCCGTCTCTCACTCGAGTAAAAAGTACTACTTTATGAACCAGGTTCTTAATTCAGTGCCCGTAAATTAATTCCATAATGAACACCAAAGAGGACTTTGACAATCACTTGACAACAAAGTGTGAAATGAGTGCTAGAGGCGGTGTGTGAAGGTGACCAGCACTCAGGAAGACAGCACTCTGGAAACTCTACTTAGACCTCTGCTAGCCTACCTTCCACCGGCTTCACCATCGACACAGCTACTGTCATGCTACCTAGCAGCCTCATCCATGCAGGCAAGTGGTAAGGAGAGTACAGTGACACAGGGCCAAGAGGATTCTATCAGTGAGACTAATGAAGGGAAAGGCACATGAGGAAGAGATGGGGCAGGTGAGAGAGAGAGTGTGGCTCTCATGCTTGACCCTCCACCAAGAGACAATACCAGGGTGTTAGTGTCGCTCACAGGATGACAGCGAGGTGCCGCTGCTGTTACACAACAAAAACAGACCTTAGTGGTCAATCACAGTCTCCGCTGTTCCACGCTGTGGGCGTCTATATTCGTAAGGGACAACTACTGCCGTGGGTAATTTAGGGCAAGATGGCTCCACCTATTTTATGTTGACCGGACAGATTGTGTTGCACACCGTCTCCTCGTCCTGAGGAGGCACACACAGTTTAGCAACTGAGGTTATGGGTCGTAGACGCTGGTGGGGACATGTGCATCAAGGTTGGATTATGGGCATGGGAATGCAAAGTGAACAAGGCGTGGTGACGCGACGTGGGCGTGGTGGTGACGGTGTGGGCGCGGTTGCCGGCGCCGCCTCTCGTGCCTGGGCGTGTGAGACTGTGGTCAGGAGGGAGAGAGGGCGGCTTACCTACGAAGGATGCCCCCCAAGATGGAGGCGTTGAGACACTCTGGCGGGGAGAGTCGCCGCTGGACCTCCGCCACCGTCACTTTATACTTGGAGTTGGAAGAGAGGAGGGAGAGGCGGCCGGGCACCGAGCAGAACACGTCCGTGGGTATTGCTGGCCCTAGCAGGTTCTCCTTCATCATGTGTTCTCCCATCTTGCCTGCAACACACGCCGTCAGGCAGCCAGGAGCACGAAGTAGGGGTAGGTGGTGGGGGTCTGGGGACGGGGTGAGTAAGAGGCATGAGGCGTGTGTAGAAAGGCGTAGTAGGGGTAGGTGTGGAGGCGTAAGGGCGTACATTGGCGTAGGAGGTGAAAGGGCGTACATGGACGTGGTGTGCAGTGTATGGTGAGAGGGAGTACAAGGGAGTGGGGTGTAATGTGTGGTGAGAGGGAGTACAAGGGCATGATGTGCAGTGTATGGAGTGGACATGTCGTACCTATGAATAGTGACGTGTACTGAAATGTGGTAGACGAGATACTTCTGAGTTGCTGTCGACGATAACATTAACATATGTAGCAACAACAGTGCTGGGAACAGTAGCAACAGCTGCAACTGCTACAGTAGTAGCAGGAACAGCAGCAGCATCAATTACAGGAACATCAATAAACAGCTACTCCAGCAGCAGGGGACAGGGCTTGCGGTGCACAGGAGAGCCAGAAGCAGGGTTGTAGAATAGGGCTATCACTCCCCTACTTCCTTTTCCCCCCTTCCAAACCACGTCAATCTTGACCCCAATTACATCCAGGTTGAAAAGTTAGCGTCTTAATTACCCTAAGAAACCGTTTAATCAAAACTCTACCAAAGAATCTCAGGGGGGTTGTGAAGAGTAAAAAAAAAAAAAAAGGGTAAGAGCGTAGAGCGGCATTCCTGGCAGTGGTCGGGCGGTCGGGCCGTCGGGCGGTCGGGCCGCACCCGGTCATGCAAATAATTTGTTTCCAAAACTAAGCACTTTAATTAAAATCCCAAAAATGTCAGCCACTCCAGTAATGCGGGGTCCGAGGGAGGCACTGACGGAGGAGGGGAATGAAAGGGGAGGTGGGAGAGGAAGGGGGAATGAAAGGGGAAATAGAGGAAGGGAAATGGATAAAGGGGAAAATGGTTCGAAACAGAGGCAGATTGGGAGGGGGAAAAAAGGGTAAATAAAGAGAATGGGAGGATAGGGGACTTATAAAAAGGGGTTACGGATAGAGGAAATGTGAGGAAAGTGTAGAGAGTATTTAGGGAAGGAGAGAGAGGCTGCAGGGGAGCGGTGGACAGAGGGAGAGGGGGAGAGAGAGAGAGAGAGAGAGAGAGAGAGAGAGAGAGAAAGTGCACTCATCTGTTTGTGGTTGAAGGGAGTGAGTGGGAGTGTGTACACTGATTTGTGTTCGGAGAGTTGAGTCCTAGCTCCTGACTCCGCCTATTAACCTTTATCGACCAGCACAACTCTTTCTGACCTCCCGAGCCCCGCCTTCCCCCCCCCCTCCACACACACACACACAATGTAGCGATGTAGTGGAGGCAGGATCCATACATAGCTTTAAGCAGAGGTATGATAAAGCTCACGGTTCAGGGAGAGTGACCTAGTAGCGATCAGTGAAGAGGCGGGGCCAGGAGCTCGGACTCGACCCCCGCAACCTCAACTAGGTGAGTACAACTAGGTGAGTACACACACACACACACACACACACACACACACACACACACACACACACACACACACACACACAGCAATACACTAGGTGTCACTCCCACTTTATACCACTTTCTACCATGAGACTGAAAAACCACACTAATAACATCCCTGTGACTCATCTGTGCCTAGGGTGAATAACTGAGAGAGTAATTACCTCGTCATCTACCGTCTCTAGTTACACCTTCAAGTAACCTGTACTGAAGTGATAACACCCCTAGTTGGCGAGACTTCTTCAGGATGAAGATACCCAGGTTTTGCACATGTGTCGTATTATTAAATGCCTCTATTATTACTGTTATATTTATAAGGCAGAGAAAAGCCAAGAGGCAATAAAGCGCCTGGATCTGTGCTTTCAGCGTCCACCGATGTCTCCTTGTCTCTGGTCTTCGCATTGTAAACATGTTCAATATATAGCCCCTGGAAAGCGAAACGTTGCATACGTGTTCTTTTCACCTAACATTTTCTGTAATTCTACCAACATTGTAAACATATTGTAATGGTCATTTTAAAACTGCGTGGTTGTCCACTTATTGAGGAATGTATCTATGCAATATGTCTTGGTTACCTGTGCGTTCATAACTCCTGTGTCCATTACCAAACGTTTTAAGCACATATCCTAAATTTGCTTGGAACAGTTGAAACAAATTCATGATGTATGTATCCAGATGTATACACGTCAATCTATAAAGGTTGACGTTACCTGGAGGTTACCTGGAGGTTATTCCGGGGATCAACGCCCCCGCGGCCCGGTCCATGACCAGGCCTCCCGATGGATCAGGGCCTGATCAACTAGGCTGTTACTGCTGGCCGCACGCAGTCCGACGTACGAGCCACAGCCCGGCTGATCCGGCACCGACTTTAGGTATCTGTCCAGCTCTCTCTTGAAGGCAGCCAGGGGTTTATTGGCAATTCCCCTAATGCTTGATGGGAGGCTGTTGAACAGTTTTGGGCCCCGGACACTTATGGTGTTTTCTCTTAGTGTACCAATGGCGCCCCTACTTTTTATTGGCGGCATTTTGCATCGCCTGCCCAGTCTTTTACTTTCGTAGGGAGTGATTTCTGTGTGCAGATTTGGGACCATTCCTTCCAAGATTTTCCAGGTGTAGATTATGATATATCTCTCCCTCCTGCGTTCCAACGAGTACAAGTCAAGTGCTTCCAAGCGTTCCCAGTAGTTAAGGTGCTTGACAGAACTTATACGTGCAGTAAAGGATCTCTGTACACTCTCTAGATCTGCGATTTCACCTGCTTTGTATGGAGATGTTAATGTACAGCAGTATTCCAGCCTAGAGAGAACAAGTGATTTGAAAAGGATCATCATGGGCTTGGCATCTCTCGTTTTGAAAGTTCTCATTATCCATCCTATCATTTTCTTTGCACGTGCGATCGTGGCACTGTTGTGATCCTTGAAAGTGAGATCCTCAGACATTACTACTCCCAGGTCCCTTACATTATTTTTCCGCTCTATTGTATGGCCGGAGTCAGTAGTATACTCTGTTCTAGTTATTATCTCCTCCAGTTTTCCATAACGGAGTAGTTGGAATTTGTCCTCATTGAACATCATATTGTTTACCGTTGCCCACTGGAAAACTTTGTTTATATCTTCTTGGAGGTTAACCGCGTCCTCAGCAGATGACAGCCTCATGCAGATCCTAGTATCATCCGCAAAGGATGATACGGTGCTGTGGTGTATATCTTTGTTTATGTCTGATATGAGGATAAGGAATAAGATGGGGGCGAGTACTGTGCCTTGTGGAACAGAGCTCTTCACTATGGCAGCCTCCGATTTAACTCTGGATATATAACATCTGGATATATACATCCTAGGTCTTTTGTGTGTCCACATGTTCATGCGCTTAAGTCCACAGGTTGGATATAGGATGCACAATGTACTGGTCGCTTCAGTGGCAAATTCTAAATTTTATTCGCTTTATGCATTCCTCAGAATAGTTACTACGTCGTAATTAGGTTGCTCCTAGTGGCCCTGTCTTCAAGGGTCGTCAGGTTCAATTTCTTTCGTGGCTCCTCATAATGCATCCCTCTTAGCTGGGGGGGCTGGTCAGGTTGCAGAACCTTGGCAGCTTTATATATATAAAGATGCAAAACAACCGCAGAGGGAGTATAATGATAGCTCTAGGCCTTTCGTGTTGGAATCAACACATCAGGAGCTTGCAAAGTTGCAGAAAAGATGATGTACAAGCAAATAATTCTAGAGTTATCATTCTACTCCCCCCGTGGTTGTTTTGCATCCCGTATGGCTTGGTTTGCGATATTTGCATTATATATAAAAATTATTTGAACAAGCGAGAGGGACCTGGGAACGGTAATGTCTGAGGATCTCACTTTCAAAGATCACAACAGTGCCACAATCACAAATGCAAAGAAAATGATAGGATGGAAACCATACCCTGGCCGGGATTGAACCCGCGGTCCGAGAGTCTCAAAACTCCAGCCTGTCGCGTTAGCCACTAGACCAGCTAGCCACAATAAGATTCGTCCAACTAGGTATATTTCTACACCATAGGAAGGTTAGCACAGGCACCACTGTGACCACAAATGCAAGTTTTTACAGACGAATCTCCAGCTAGCGTGGCCGTGGTCACAGTGGTGCCTGTGCTAACCTTCCTATGGTGTAGAAATATACCTAGTTGGACGAATCTTATTGTGGCTAGCTGGTCTAGTGGCTAACGCGACGGGCTGGAGTTTTGAGACTCTCTGACCGCGGGTTCAATCCCGGCCGGGGTATGGTTTGTTTGCAATCGTGTCATTACGATTTCGTGAGTCGCAGTGATAGGATGGATAACGAGAACGTTCAAAACAAGAGACGCCAAACCAGTGATGATCCTTTTCAAATCACTTGTCTTCTCTAGGCTGGAATGTTGCTGTACATTAACATCTTCGTTCAAAGAGTGCACAGAGGACCTTTACTGCACATATAAGTTCCATCAAACACGTCAACTACCGGGAACGCTCGCTGGAACTCAGGCGAGAGAGATGCATCATAATCTACACTTGGGAAAATCCTAGAAGGAATGGTCAAGTAGGAGTTGTGAAGAGCCTCGCATTCTAAGACGAGCCTGACTATACGAGTGACGTATTCTCAGATAACCCAAACTTGCTAATTCTTTGTTGATATTTCTGAAGTTATTCAAATATACAGCCTCTCAAAACTACAGAAATCAGAGTTGCTGTGTTTTTTTTAATTTCAAACGACTAGTTGTACTAGTTCCTCTTTGATCACCTCGGAGCCTTCCTCTTTATGGTCTTCTGTACTTCTGACAAGTTTTTGGAGTTTACTAGCCTCTCAGCCCGGCCTGGAGACGGGCATTTCTGGGGGCTGCCTGTTCAACCAGCCTGTTTCAGCTGGATGCCTTTGGTTGCTGTTTGTTTCCTCTCGTTTCTATTACGATGAACTTCATTATCCATTTGTCAAAAGTAAGCTTTAGTACATTTATGTTCTTGTTATGAAAATACTGAACCTGTGTTTATTTAGGGATATCGCCAAGTGTGGGCGAAACATCGTACCGATAAAGGTTTCTT